TTACCTTCCATCAAGGCAGCCTAGCGCTGGGAGAACAGGCTGCAGCGCTATCTTACATATGTCCTGGCTCTGCGACAGACTGTGACCTTGGGCAAGTTATTTCAACTCTCTGAACCTTGGTTTCCACATACAGAAAACGGGGACAACAATAATAGTATCTACCTCATAGGGTTTTAGGTAGAAGTAAATTAACGTAGCTGTGTGCTTCGATGGCATGGAACTCCATACAGGTTAGCTCTTATTATTGATACGGTAGCTACGAACACAGCCACATGCTACAGCAGAAGCTTGTCAAACTGCCAAATCGCTGATTTATGGGGGTAGCAATTGCTTACAGAGTGTCATTTTGCACTTATCATTTAAGGGGCTTACACACAACTTCTGTGAACCCAACTTTCTTTAATAGAGGAGCTTCTATATAAAAAGATCAAAGTGACATTTATCACTTGAGTGATAAAACCAGAAAGAAATGCAAAGACGTGCCTACTGTAAGTCAGGGGAATGGTTATTTTAGTGGGGGAAGCAGGGGCTGACTGGGAGGGTACTCATGAAGGGGGCTCCTGGGTGACTGGCCAATTTCTCTTTCTCAACCTGGGTGCTGTTATAAGTGTTCTCCTCAAAACAATCTACTAAGTTACACATTTGGTTTGGGTGGTTTTTCTGTATCTTTGTTTTATTTTACCATAAGAAGGTTTTAAGAAGTGATGTCCATAAAACAAAATCAATGACTACAGAAATTATGCTTACTGGCTTCCAAAATGTTAACATTTTATCACACAATGCACATCAACATGAATATGTTGTTTTACCATGCTTTAGAAATATATATTTTACAATAGGAGCTTTGTTTTCAGTATCTAAAATTATTTCTGTAGAACCAGCCACCTGAGGAACGCTCTTTGAAAGCCAAAAGACTTCTGTAAAATTTTTATTTATGATTCCATGATTTTTTAGAGAAAGATATATTCTGAAAATCAAAGTCTTGTCCTTCCTAACTTGCTATCTTCATAAAACCCCAATTATTTTTGCCTAAAAAAGGAACATGGTTTTAGTGTTAAACTTTCATTTCCATCACTCTCCTGTAAGAGTGAGTGACAAAACCCCAAACTTTCCTAAGCCCTGAAATCTTCTTCCAGGTCCATGCTTTGCAGAATTCTATATGTGCAAAACCACATGATTTAAGTGTCCCGAGTGCAAGAGGAAATTGGGGAGTAAGAGCTTGCCCACGTCTCCGAGGCTGGGAGGAGCACACACACTTAACCATACCATCTGTACAAATGGTACCAGAGTTCAACATGCTCATGATTAGAAGGGCTTATGATTTATGTTTGCTAGTTAAATATGCTTATGATTTAAACTTATTTTCTCTGGCAAGAAACAAGCTAGTCAGCACCACAGCCTAGCCAGATGATGAGAAGTAGATGCATATTTCAATGATATACATTTTAACTTGCTGAGCCTTGTAAATGCTACTGTTTTCTTCCTGTAACAAAAGTCCTATCTTCCTGTAGGACTCCAGAGATGTTTAAAACATACATTCATTAGTGAGAGCAGTTAAAAGTCCTTTAACAGCAGTGACTGCACTAGAAGAATCATGGGTAGGCTCTGAAGTGCTGCATCTTAGGCGGGAGGGCAGAGCCTCTGCTTATAGAACAGCCAATAACGTGCCCCTAAAATGCACCAATAAGAACTGGATGAGGAAGTACGCACAGAATACACAGCAGCCAGTAACCAGACTCAAACATGAGGAGACATTAGGAAACTGTAAAGTGTTCTCAGTGCTAAGACCTGCCCCTCCAAGGTTTCATTAAATTCACCGCGCTAAAATTAATTGGGCATCATATACATGATCTTGAATTGCTTGCTTTTACAGTGAGAGAGAGGAATGTATGCAGATGAGTGGAAGAAATAAGAGTTTGCTGGTATTTTCGCTTTTTTTTTAAAGGGATATATTAGACAGCCAGAAAGAAAGCGCAAACTCACTTTACTTGGCTAACTGGGAACAACTGAATCTTACGGGCCAATTGGAGGACAAAAAGAGAAACAAGAGTAATTGATTCTAAAATGAAGCCACTCCTAGGAAAGGGTAAAGAAAGAGAATTAAAATAAGCGAGATGCGTTTTCTAAGAGATCAAGATGAGTCCAATCACCAAATATGTTCAATAGGGGAGAGAGACCCAGAAGCGACTGCTTCCTGTCAGAGCGCCACAGACACCGCGGTGCCAGGGGCGTCCCATGCATGAGAGCCGGTGGGCAGAGCGCTTCAGCATGTGCTGGAATCCACAGGGTCAGGACAACCACCACACACACACTTGGGACTTCATTAAGATGAAGCAATGTGGTTCATAAAAGTGCATGACACTTTAAACCTGAGCAGGGAGAATGAAATTTCTATCCCATAGAACACAATTACGGAGTGAGAATTACTGACAACAGATTAGAAAAGGTCTCAACATAAAGTTCTACAAACTAGTGAACACTAAAACAAACCCCACAAAGTTATAACTTCAAAATGGAAGGAACACAAATTCATAGCACTATAGTCCCAAATTAGAAAACTGTAAGAACTTTTGCATGAAAACTCTAAACATTTGCACAAAACACATAAATTACTATATTTTCAAGTAAGAAAAGTACAGTCTAGTCTTACCTTATGGCTGCAAAAGGCTGGAATAAAAATTACTGACTTATAGAAGCAACTTTCACATGTATCCGAACATCAAACACAACACACAATATAAAATCAAAAATAACTAGAACAGAAAAGTTTTCAGTGTGACCTTAGAAATCCTGAGCAAATCACTGGATGAAGCCAGATCAAAGGGAGGGCATTGCACCAGCTTGGAGCCATATGTGAAGGGCCCCAACGGCACAGGGCACAGATGGTATACAATGGGGGTGGGGGCACGAGCAGATTCAAAACATACGGCGAAGAAACCTGCTTTAACTTACATAGGTAAGACAATTAGAAAGAATGAAGAATTTGAATGCAAGTGATAAGATTTTAAATTTGGGACAAATGGTGCTAGATGCCCCACACTAAAGTGTACTCACTAGTTTAAGCTCCAAAATCCTTTGTGTGATAATTTAAATGAAACTAAAATCGCAGTGAGTATACACGCAAAGAGATGGTGACTTGTTATTAAACGATTACTGAGAAGATAGTTAAAACTTTTTTTTAAACCATACAGTAGTTATAAGCTATATTACCTGATTAAGGTCTGAGAAATTTGGGGGGCGAGAGGAGGGGGGAAATTGAACGTAGGCTCACAAAATTAACAGCTCTATTTGAAAACAGAAACCCTGTAAGTTTATTAAAATGCTCAAAGTTCCTTAATATTCTCCATTTGTCATACAGTATAAAGCACTAAAATTAAATTTTTCACCTTAAACCTTCACTAACCATTGCTTCTTCACATGTAAAAAGATGAGAGGTACCATTAATTTTCTATAGAAAACTCAGAAACACTCATTTCCTTCATGCTCATTTACATAACACTAACTTGCCAGCTTAATAATTCCCAAAAAAACACTTGCTCCAAAATGAAAGCTTAAGAAAAATTCTCTGACTTAAACATTAGAAGTTGAAATTTTCATAAAGTAATCTTGCATTTCATTAAGTAAGTTGATAACTTTTTTCAGGCAGCAACCCAAACAAAAACATTTAACACAGGTTCCTTCAACCTCATGATTTCTGAAGGACACAAGCTCATAGAATATCCAAGAGGTGATTTTCATTGGATATTCTAGTAAGTTACATTCAACACATACATATACATGGGACTCTGAAGTCGGGCAGCAATGATGGACAAATAATGTTGACTTCACAATGACTTGTGCTTATTATTCAGGTAGTTTAGGAAATACTTATTTGATTTTTTGGCACTTGTATGTATTAAAGAATCCCTCCAGTTTAGGAACAGCTTTGCTAAGCTACATCTAAGAGTGACAATTAATTTTAGTGGAAATTCATTCCCAGGCTACTTTGATAGTCATTTGAACAGTTTTGCGTTATTTTACATGCAATTTTATAGCTCTATAATGTTCATTTAATCTTGTTCAATGATGCTGAACCCCAGATGGCATAAGACATTATAGAAAAGTAGTTACTGAACATATGGAGTAACTACTTTTTCTGAACATTAATTTCTTTTCTCTTAACAGGTTGAAATGGTATTTAGAAAAGAGAAAAGCCACCACTCTGTATTAAAGGTTTTATATGATGGACTTGCAGACATGGCGACCTGTCACTGCTGTGGTCCCAGCCATAAAGTTCTTATTTACAAGCCTCATCTTCTCAAGTCTTCATAATGATGGCTCTCTCCATCCTTCATAAGGTTGTTGGTATTAAACATTCCGATCAGGTCGCCTGAAAGGGCTGGGGGAGGAGAGGCTTTCCTCATCGTCATATGTGGGGTTGGATACAATCAGGGGTTCTCAAAGTGAGGTCTGAGGACCATCCACATTAGAATCCCTGGGGAGCTTGTGAAAAGGGCAGAGATCCAGACGCCTAGGCAGACTGAATCAGACTCCAGGTTTGGGCTGAGAAACCTGCATATTAAGCAAGCACCCAGTGATCCTTCTGCCTGCTAAGAGGTGAGAAGCACTGGTAGATGATCTCGAAGGTCCCTTGCACTCCAAAATTCTAAGAGCCTGTGAGTTTTCTTTTAAAAAACAACGTCGTGTCAGCAGGATGAAGGTACCTCTACTACACAAAATGGTGACTTTTAGCCAGAGTGGATTAACCTACATAAGAAGTGTGCTTTGATTTTCATGCATATGTAAAAACAATAGAAAATAAAAACCGAACAGTATAATCAGATGTGTAAGGAATCTCTCTGGGCTTGTTTCCTCATAGGAGAAAAGGAAGAACCCACTCTAATTACCACACAGGAGCATACATTCAAAGGGGCTTTTCACTGCACCTTCGTGCCTGCCTCTTTCCTCTTCACCTTCTGAACTCCTCTCAGCTGCTGAGAACCTATCCAGGCTTTTTACAATCCTAAGTCACCAAACTGTTGTAATTTTCGATTGATCTGAATACATTCTTTTAAGAAATAAATTACTACAGGCAGTCCTCTACTTATTCATTTGTAACAAGTGACATCTTACAGAAACATACAATGTAGGAAAGGTGAAGAGTGGACATATTTTTAAAGGGGAGTTCCATATTCAGAAAGCTAACAAAAAAAAATCAAACAGTAATTTAACTTCTCCCTTTGGGCACAATATTTGAGGAAATGTTTCTTACATGTTACTGTATTTCATTCAGTCTCTTTATAACTGCTTTTCAGGCTCAATGAGATCCTTAGATTTGAGAGTTTAAAATCAGCATCTGGAGAGGTTTATCTTTGACACATTTTTATTTGGTGTAGGAGAGCTAAACTTCTATTGGTAGTATCTAATTTTTATAAAATTACAAGAGCAAAATGCTGTAGACTCTTAAAATAATTACACAAGCATAGTTCAAGAAATTCCGCTGCTGAGCCGGAGCCACCGGCTGGAGGGCAGCGCCACCATGTGGCCGCTCCAAACGCTGTCAGCCCTATGTGAGCACGAGAGGGGGTTCTCTCCTAAGGCGATTTTCAAACACCAAACTGCAACACTGCCGTGTCACTGAGAGTGAGAGGGAGAAATGAGAACTGTTTGTAACGAGAACGTCTGATTCTGTACAGTCTTATCCGTGGTGACAGGACCAGTAAATTAGTGTTTGACTGGGGTGACTTGGGGGGTTAGGCTGACTGACTTGGAGTGCTCTCTGCTGAAGGATGCAGCCTACAGCTTCAGAGCCCAGCTCTGTCGCTTGTTAGCCCCATGTCCTTTAACAAAGCACAGATTTGGTGAAGGCCCTGTGGGTAGATGTACACTATGTCTACTGGACCCAATTTTAGTCAAAGTTTCTTTCGGCTATAAAGTCTGGTGACCATATACGTGATGTAGATATAAGCTAAATTCAAGAAGAAAGTTGAGAAGGTTAGAGTCAAGTTAAACTCATTTAAAGTTTATTAGAATTGTGTTTTTCTTTTCGTGTTTTTTCCCCTGTCAATTGTACCATGAATTTAATAGCCACATTATATTAAATATACATGTTTGCTGTAAACTACACCTTCAGTTCAGAAATGTGAAAGAGTGACCTGGGCAATAATGGAGGAGAAAAAGCATGCTGGAGTGCCTGCCTCTGCCTCACAGACCCTGAGGAATTACAAAGACAAGAACAGGAGCGCTCTGGCCTCTGTGCGTCTCTGCGAGGGCAGTCTAGGCTGCGCCTGCACAGGCTTCACTGAAAATCAAAAACAAAACAGGCTTCTACGAAAATGTCCCACTTTCCCCAGCAAGATGGGGATGCTGCCCTAATACAAAAGTCACATGATCCACAAAATGTTCCCTTAAATCTTAAAAGAGTACTGGCTTCTTTAATCCAAGTAGGTAATGAGAGGTTTTTGTGTTTTTTTTGACCTGATTAAATCAGCTTAGTTCATACAGCGTCTCCTATGAATTAAAAATTCAATTAGAACAATTTCCAAAGCAAAATCTGACAAAATCCTTTCTTAAAGCAATTTAGATGATAGATTCTTAACTTAGGCAAATGAAATCCTTCTCACAGTTGATATTTTCCACAGGGTCAGAAACAGTTGCATGAGTGCTCTGGGACAAAAACCTACTTTGTGTCTTAAGCCATGTTTCATGATCATAAACAATAGAAACTAGAAAACATTAATGTGAGCCTAACATTCCTATTTATTTTATTTTATTTTTGCTTCAAAGGCTACATACATGCAAAAGTTGAACATGTCATCACAATGCTTTTAAATAAAGTTCAAAAATAAAAATACTTCAAAATCCACTTACTTATGGAATATATATGACAATTATAATGAAGATAAGTCAATTATATCCTTTTTCTAATCTATCAGAAAAATACTTAGATTATAAAAAAGAATTTTAATTCATGTCCAGAATACCTTTTTTAAATCCTTGATCAATAATTTAAAAACAAGTTGGATGTTAGCACAATATTTAAAGAAACAAGTTCCAGCTTTTGGAAAATGGGTCTGAGATCCTTATACCTCATTTTGAAATCACTGAAGAAATTCAAATTTAGAAGCAAAGCATTTTTTTAAAACTATGATCATTGTTATTATGGTTGATGTGGTTAGTAATGCAAGTGAAGGGCACAGTTTTTAAAAATGGATATCATTGAAAGTCCTTTAAAGTGTCTGAAGGAAGAAGTGTATTTACACACACAGGTAGGAGGCGTGTCTCTGCTGGTCAATACTGCAAGAGGAATGAAAGATCCTAGAAGCCAGGGAGGTGTGAGCGCGGGCCCCTTGGGGAACTGTCTGAGCTTGCACTGGCTCTGACTCCACTGACACACCAGCAGGAAGAAGCGGCTCCAAGTGGCCCTGCCCTCTCCAGGTGAAAGCCGGAGGCTGCAGGGCAGGGAGGGAGGGAGCAGGCACGTTCTGAGCAAGCTGCCATTGGCTTCTACTAAAACCAGCGTTTCTTTGGCAACATAATACGTTAGGTATTAACAATTCCAAAGAATTCAGACGAACAGAATGCACTCGAAGTTCAACTTTGTGAATGTTCACATTCATCCTGGAAATGAGATTTGGCTTCCTGCTCCTGAATGGAAAAGGCAGGCGGCCCAGGTCGGAGGCCTGCTGGTTACTGGAAATGACAGGCAATGTCAGCAGGAACCAATGTGCTCAAATTGATGTGGAAATCCTTACGTGGGTACACACACCCAAAATTCAGGAGAAGCTTGATTCAGACAATTAAAATATTACCTCCTCTTTCAATCAGAAATATAAGGTTTCCTATTTGGAGGAATCCCTTGCTACCTTCCTTTGGAAAGGCCAAATGAAATTCTGGTTAGAAATATGTTAACAGAGTCCAAAACCTAGAGTTTGATTTATATTCTGATACTCAACTGTGATTATAGTTTTCATGCTAGGCAACCCAACTATTAGTTTTCCTTTATAGCTAAAAACAAACAACAAACAAACAAACAAAAAGGTTTGAAAAGAAAAGATAAAAGATGTGTGTGCCGTCAGTGCAAAATCTGATTAAGTATGGTTTTTCTTTTCCCTGGGACAGAAAAAACAATGCCCAGTGCATAGTACGTAGAAATGTGTCACAACAAATAATCAAGACAGGTTTCACCAGCTAGTAGTCCTCTGAGTACACTGTGGTTTCTCAAAAGCAGTATTGTCATGATTATGCATCTTCTCATTAACTAGGTGCAGCAGAGCTACTTAAAGGGAAACCCATTTCTTGTGCCTCAATGAAAGGAGAGTGCAGAAAACAATAATTAGACCGAATAAGGAATTTAAAAGGGAAACAAAATTGGGAGTGAACAGAACAGAGAATTTAGAAAGAGAGGGGAAAAAAAAAAAAAGCAAGTAAGTGATGGTAGAAACCCCACACAATCTCCCCACCCCACCTGCCAGTCTGAGCCCTAATTGCCCAATCTGCAAGGACAGAAACCATTCTAAATGGACCAGCATCGGACTTCGGCAAATCTTCTCTTCACTCTCCCTCCTGTTAAGACCGTTTCCAAAACCAATCAGCAAAGGACAAAGAATTCTTTACAGAGTGCAATTAGTGTTTTCCACGTCCACCTTCAAAAGCATGATGCTCTTCATGGGCTAAAGGACAGAAAAAAACAAAAAAGAAAAAAAGGAAAGAAAACTTTAAGCAAAGGATGGGGCAACCCTTCTCTAAGGCATCTCATTCAGTTTCCCCAAATGTTGGCAAGAACTCAAATATCTTTTTGTGCCAGTAACTGTTAGCTAAGGCGAGCATTTTCTGAGAAACGTAATAATGAAAATTAAAACAAGGAATAAACAAGCAATGGGCATGCTGCCTGTTTCTTCTTGCTGTGCCGGAGGCAATGAGTAATCCAACAAGCTGATGAAGAGAGTATGTTGGGCTCCGAGCAAATGCTGCAGGGAAAAACGCATCCCACAGAATGCACGGGTAGGGAGGGGCCTCACATTACCAAAGATGGGCCATTCACAAGCCTATCTTGAAAAAATAAAATGGAAGGAAAATGAAACAAAACAAAGAACAACACAAGGGTGGTGACAATTATTTACGTCTCCTCACCTTTGAAAGCCCTCTGAGGGAAATGAAGTTTCATAAAATTGATGGGTCTTTTATTTTTCACAATGATTGTTTTTCCCCAGCTCTATTGTCTGGCTTACAAAATTACTAATTACAATTAAAAACCGTAGAATACAAATTATCAAAAGTACTTTTCAAAGACTTAAAATTTTAAAAAGTGGAAGTGGGAAATGGGGAACCTATGAAATACAAAGCATTTCTTCCAAGGCAGAGGGCCAAGGCTGAAAATCTCCTTTCTGGACCTTGTTTAACTATCACCATGAAGTACGGGCAGAGTGCCTTCTCTCAAGTGGACAAGTGGCTCGGGTCTGACAGGGCCAAGGGCAACTCAGGGTCCCATACTTTGTCCTCGCTCCTGCACCAGCAGTGAAGGCGTCCTCGGAAGGCACACGTGGGCTGGCCCGTTTCCCTTTTAGCCTCTCCCAATTCTCTGGGTTAAATATGGACTAAATTCTTCAGACTAATGCGGGGTGCGGAGGGGGGAACACACCGTCTTCCCTAAAGGCTTGTTCTGGGTGTCCACCCCAACCTGCTCTTCACTTGGATAAAACCTTAGAAGGACACCTCTAGCTCTGAGGGTTACTTCTGGTTGGCTGAACTCCTAAGGGTGGCCTGTAATCCAAACTGTTTAATTGAACATTTCTCACAAGTAGAGCTTTGCAAATATTTCACTTATGTTGTTGTTGTTGTTGTTTTTCTCCATTTAAGAAAGACTTTCAGGGCAGACACCAAAGAAAACATGGTCTGCTCTGCAATAAACTATGCAGAGCTGCTGGGTCACATGGGGACCCATGACCTCATGGTGACACTGGGCTGCACATCATAGAATCAGGAGCTATGGGCTGTCCAAAGGCTCTTATTGCTTCTGAGCACCAGGGACTTGAGGGGCAGTTGTAGCTGAGACACTGGCGAGCCGCGACTTGGGTGGCGCATAGAGACAGCAGAAGAGAGGATTCAGAACTGGGAGGGCCCCGGGGAGCCGAGGCAGCTCTGTCTGCCTCAGGTCAGACTGGGCAGAAAGAAGATAGAAATGCTGGAATCCAGGACTCAGCAAACTTTTTCTGGAAAGAGGAGGCATGGGATAGATATTTTAGGCTCTGCGGGCCATGGGGTCTCTGCCAGTCCTTAACTCTGCCACTGTCGCATGAAGCAGCCATACGTGACAGGCACACAGATGGGCAATACTGGTGGCGATATACTTTATACACATGTGGACACTGCGATTTGAATTTCATACAATTTTATGTGTTGTAGTCCTTCTTTTGATTTTTTCCCCCAACCATTTAAAAACATGAAAACCATTCTTAGCTGCAGCCCATACAAAAACAGGCAGGGGGTGTGTGTGCAGATTTGGCTTGAGGTTTGTAGCTTGCCAACGTCTGTCTTTTGGCTTGAGGTTTGTAGCTTGCCAACGTCTGTCTAAACAATTCTCACGTCAGAAAAGACATGTGTCATTCAGCTGCTCTGAATAACCTACAGCATTTGCAGGGAGGGGTCTCTGTACACTGGGAGTTTCTCCGTCAAATAACCACTCTTTATCCAAATCATATATAATTAGCAACAGCCCTCTCCTCACCCACCATGACAGAATGTGCTAGAGCTCTTTCTACATGGACAATCTGCCCTGTCAGCTGCCTCTCGTGTACTTGTGAGTACTTTCACCAGGATCCTGTTAACGAGACAGTAGAACAGCAGAAGCATGGAGCTGCCCATTTCTAACTGAGCTCCTCTGTGACCATTCTTCATGCTGGGCTCAGGCTCCTGCCCAAACTTCACTTTTCCAAATCAATTCTGCAGCTCATGGTACTCGTCCCGACTCAGAAAAGGCCTGCCTGCTTTATGTAAAATAAAGAGAACTGCTTCTTCTTTTCTGACTCAGGTTTTTATTTAAATGATCTTTGAGTTTTTAAATGTGAATTTATGCCATTAAAATATGGATTTCTGAGGTTTACTGAGACTGTAGCCAGTTCTGCAGTATCCACAAACTTCACAATGGCATCTATCTTTAGGGTGCCTATTTAAGTTGCTTCAACTGCCCAAAGCTGCAACTTTACCCCCATGTTGGTCTCCTCCCCCATCACAACAGCTAAGCAGGGAATCATCCTTGTTTAGTCTTACCTGATGAATGTGCTGCCCTAAAAATCAGCCTAAGCACTTGTGGCCTAATTATCTAATGAAACACTCATGTGTTGAGCGTGCTGCTAACCAACACATTACCTGGAAATTTCATCATGTAATTTTGAAGTAGAAGGGACCTTGGAGATCATTTCAGACCAAGCTCCTCACCATTTAGATGAGTAAATGAAAAAATGAGACGCTGTGACTTGTTCAAGGTCACAGTGTTGAAATGGAACAAAAACTCAGAGCATCTGACTTAATCGCTCCAAACTGCTCTGCTCTTTAGAGTCCAATGTGGAGCTGGTTCAAAAGCAGTCAAGAACGTTTCAGCCTGTTCATCAACGGCAGTGGGACATACTTCCTCCCAGAGTGTCTGCTGTGGTCAGGCTTGTGGAGTAGAAGGAAAAGACCCTCGGTGACCTTTCAATTAATATCTGGGGTGAAAATACAATTAGTGTTCCCTGAGGAATGGAAATTGTATCTAGAAATGTGCAGTTGCCACACTGCGCCGCCAGTAAGCGACTTCTGCAGTGCCACTGTCTGTCTCTTGTATTTAAACTTTCGTTTACAGCTCAGAAGCTGAGCGCCTCCTGGATGTGTGCAGCCCGGGGGCAGTCTCACTGCTAAAATCTCAATCATGTGGCCTGTGCTGTGCGACTCCTTAGAAGGAGGCCTTAGTTTCATATCCTCCACCAGACTCAGACACTCATGACACACAATTTGGTTTTTTTTCCCCCCTCCTTTTTGGCAAAGTGTTGAGAAAAGTGAAACAAGAAATGAAGTGTGTTTCAGCAATTTTAAGATACACTCCCCCTCTTGCCAGCCCACATCTGAAAGTCATGGAATCAATACTGTGTCATAGTTTAATTGGGAGCCTTTTATTTTTCTTTCTCAGTAATACTTATCATCTAAAATAATACTTATCATCCAGGGCATTTGATATTCAATGAAATACAGTCATTATAAAAACTGAGTTACTGACTCTTGGAACAGTTTGGGAAATAGAAAATTTATCAAACGTGTGTAGGGCTGTGAATCCTTCACTCTAACTCACTGTTGAAAGTGTAACCTGAAATTTGATCTACCAAACATCGGTTTAATAGCACTAAGCTGTTTTCATTATGACAAAAATGACTTTTTCAAGAGAGCACACAAAAGCAATGAACATGAATCATGATGGAAACAATGGATCCACACACCTATTCATGCTGCTAACATGTCAGCACTGAGCATGGCTTCTCTTTCAGGTCTGTGTCCCAGTCATCCGCAATGAGGACAGATTAGCATTTCAGGAGGACAGTCAATCGCCCCGTGCTCAGAACTGTTCCTTCACAAATACAGATGTTACACATTATAAACTCCTGTTAATGAAGGGATGACTGAATATCTACCTGCCGGTCCATACAATAAAATTTTTTGTTGTTGTTATTGTTGCTTCAAATAGAAGGTAATTTTTTCTGAGAATGACAAATGTAAGGTCAGGTTTAAATGTCTGAAATAATAAATACAATATGTATCTCCTTTTCTGATCCATGCATTTAAGCGACAATTAAATTTCATTTTAATTCCTGAGACTAAACTTGCTTTTTAAAAAACCACTTCAATGTATTTTACTGAAATGTTTTCTGGATTATAGAATTTCAAGTGATTCTGCCTTCCCCTCATTTGCAACACAGTTTCTATTTTTAAAAGTATGAAAGAATTATCGAGAAAGAAGTAACTGGAAATGAAGCACTTACGTTTATAAAATACTGCTTTAAAAGATATGTGGGGCAGAAGTTCATAGATCTTTTCTAAAACGGTCGCTTCATCCACCAAGGAGGCATTTACGTTCCAGACTTGGACAACGTCTTCTCGGTCCCGAACGCTGACACTCACTCCTGCTACTTCATCATCTAAGAGGAAGGCAGGGAAAGAGAAATGAGTGAAAGCTTCAAGTGTGCCCGCGTTGCTTTTAAGTACTTATCACGGTATCTGTATGTTATAAATAAGATGGTAAAAAGAAGGTGGCACAAGAGAACCCATAATAAATACCTGTTTCTAAGGAGAATTATTGGACAAAAAGCAAGTTATTGGGTAAAAGCTGAAGTAATCACATCACATTTAACCAGGGACTTAGATAAACAAACCGTTCCAGCCAAACAAATTTTCCAGATAAGTAATTTCCCCTTTTTAACACATTACCAAAGCTTTTTATTTTTAAAGATTTTATTGGGGAATTGGGGGAGGGGAACAGCATTGGGGAATCGGGGAAGGGAAACAGACAAGTTGCTGTCCTTTTGTTCTTCAGTCTAGTTGTGGAGGACGTTGCGTCACTGGCCCATGTTGGTGTTATTGCGTTCTTTCCTGGGTGAGGCAGATTGGTCGCCAGGCCCTGGAAAGCTGCTCACAGCAGCGCTTGGCAGCTCACATTGGCTGCCAGCCACTCACAGTAGCTTATGGCAGCCCACTGCGGCTCCACTGCAGCCTACGCCGTTGGCCTGCGACTCACAGCAGCCCAGCTCCAGGTCAAGCTGTTGTTCACCGTCTTAGCTGTAGAGGGCGCAGCATCACTGGCTCTAAAATGGGATCCGAACCGGGGCCCTGCTGCTCAGAGCTGGCATCCCAAGCCAACCCTTAACCAATGCACCACTTGGCAGGCCCTACCAAAGCTTTTTGACTATTTCTTACTCTGTTTTGATGAGACTTTTTCTAAAATGAGTTGTATAATACTTGGCCCTCTGAAAGCCAAGAGAACTCAAATGAACTTTTCCTCGATGCTTGACTGTCTTTGTTAAGAAAGCAAGTACTTCTCCGGGCTTCCTGCCAAGCATTCGGAGCTCTTGGGGTGGTTAGCACTACTTGCCCCAACACCAGCTGGGCCCTGACAGTGTTCCACGTGGCTCTTTCTGCTTTGGAGGTTTGCTTGTCTCCTTTCCTATCAATTCTCCCTGTTCTCGAATGCTTCTCTGTGGCCTCCAGCTTTAAACTGTGGGCTATAGACCCAAGGACCATATGTTAGCACTGTGGGTAAAGTAAGAGTAAACACCTTCCGAGTGTGGCTCTGCCCTTACAGGACTTTAGTGAATGGACATGAAAGCATTTACCTACATTCATTAATGTAGATCTTTCTTTTTTTAACTAAATCTGGATGTGTGATGCAGACAATCTCTGTAGACCCTTGGGAAAGGTCTGTTTACTGGCACAGGCTCCCAGGCAGCACATATGCTCTGTGTACACCGGTTTGCAGTGACAGAAGTCGACTTTGGATTCCTGGTGTACATGTTCAGTACATATGAGAGATGTGGGCTCAGCTCTGCGCATGCATACTCAGCATCAGTAAGTAAAACGAGAAAGGTAAGCATCAAAATTAGGAAATGTTGCTTTAGTGAATATGCTTTGCCTAATTTGCTGTAAATCTGTAAATCTAAATATTTCTGTCATCTGTTCTTCCAACTGTCTTCTGGAGGTTCAAATATTCTAGTATTTAGATACAATTTAGGTAAGCACACATCCGATTTACTAAAGGACTTCATCTTCAGGAAAATAATTCCTTTCTTTCCTCCTTCCTTCTCTTCTCTCCCTCCCTCTGTCCCTTTTCTTTCTAAATGAAGTTGATCATGGCTAAATGTGTATGATTTGGCACTAAATGATTCCATTTACATAAATGTTTGAAGCTGGCACAATCAACCCTACGGTGTGGGAGGTCGGCTGGCAGCCACCTTTGGGGGGTAGGGGAGGATGAGGCAGTGTTCTGGGCGGGCAGCGGGTCACGTGCTGCCCCTTGATCTGGATGCTGGTTACAGGGATCTGTTTACTTTGTGAATATTTATCGATGTATACATATTATAGTTTGTGTACTTTTCTGTATATAGGTAACAATAAAACAGAAATTTCCAAATAAATAAATAGCATCTGATCATGGCCATCCAACAGGAATTTATTCCATCAAAAAAATTTGTTTTATATACAGGTTTCTTATTTTTTAATTTACACCTTCAAAATGTACTTGTTAGAGTTCAATGTTAAATTTTATGTGAACATAAAGTCATCAAGTGAAGAAGGAAGCTTTGCAGTTGACCGCTTTCAAGAAGGGCCATGCAGTCACTAGATAAGCCTTTAGGGAAATCTGGGAATTCGCCAGTCTTTTGGTGTTGTCCACTTCTACGCTTTGGGTCCGAGGGTGCTGTAACTGACGGATGCTCAGTATGCCGAACTGTCAGTATTTCAAATGGGCTTGGCTTTGGGTAACTAGGCATAGCCTACTATATTCCACAGCAGTTTTAGAAACAGCAGAGTAAAAAGGCTGCAACTCTTATGTAAAGGCAGATCCATCAGCAAACATGTAATATTCATAAGCAGAGTCAACCCGAAAAAGCCTGATTATTTTAGGGTGCTGGCAGCATCTGACACTAGAGCTCGGTAGGAGGAGCCACTGTTTAAAGATAGAGGAAGTGAGCCCCGTAAAGATTAGCTGACTTGCTTCAAGTGGCAGAGCTGGGTTAATGGAAGAGCTAATGGCTAATAGTTAATGGTGTTCTCGTTTCCTAAGTCAACCACAGAACAATGGGTCTTCTTTCCTTAATCCTGGCTATTTATTATTACTTAGATAATTTTCCCTGGTTCTGGAAACAGGAATAATTCATACAAAAAATTTGCTCTCCCAGGGATTTCTGTGTTTATAATTATACATAGGACGTATTTTTGGCTGCACATTGTAACGTTGCTAACCACTCCCTATTAAAACAGAAGGAATCTGTGCTTTGACAATTTCATCTTAACTCCAGTTTTGTCTTAAGTAAATAAAAAAGTGGTGTAAGAAGAAAGCAAAACAACAGCAGAATTATTGAAACTGCTAGTGAGATGAATTTGAAACTTGCCATAGCACAGGCTAGGCCTACAGGGGCTCCTAAAGATAGCACCATCCAAGATGTCTGAGGGTAAATTAGTCAGTACCAAGTTCTTAAAAACAAATATTATCTGAAAGCTCAACAGGAAAAATGTTATTTAAATGTTACCTCAGAAGCATCCAGAACTAACTACCCATGAAAAGTAAAACTTTAAACAAGCAATTTAATTTCCCTCTTTGAGTGGTCTCATGATAAAAAACAAACAAACAAACAAAAAAAGCAAAATAAAAAGGTACTTAAAGGGGCTCTCAGAAATTGACTCAGTATTTGAAAATGGTCTCCAAAGTCCTGAAGACCTTATATTTTAGCCTCAATTATGGGGGTCAGGTTATAGTGCCGGGCGTCCCCTGCCTACCGTTATCACTCTCTTTGAACAGGGGACTAAAAAGGGGACAGGAGGGAGGGGAAAGGGGTTGACAGGGACAGAAAGAGTTGTGTCTGCCTAACTACAAACTTCACTAGACACCAAAGGCATTTTCTCTTCTGGCAGAACGGGAACAGGAAACCAACCACAAGTTCTGGTAAAAGCCCAATTAATATCAAAGTTTCTCTTTTTCTGCCTATTTATTTTGGACAGATGGTCACAGATACTATTAAGATGAATTGTGGAGAAAAAATACATATGCATATACACAGACGTGTGTGTATATATATATATATATATATAATATGCACATATAACACTAAATGCCACAATCACATAAAAAATCCTAAGTAACTTCACAGTTACAAAATAGACAACTTCAAAACATGTGAAGAGTCAAATGCACAAGAACAGACTTCTGCCAGGAACAAGCGCATGCCAAGCAATGTGCCAAGCTGGGGCTCCTTTACCTGCAGCAGCGCAGTCTGCGAACTGCTCCCCGATAGTCGCTAACAACAACTCTTTCCAAACTGTGGACTGGGATGGGAAAGAATCAAAACAAAAAAAAGAACCAAAAAAAATAAATAAGAAAGAAAAAGAAAAAACAACAACACACATATATATTTTTAGACAATTATCTCCAGAACTAAACAAGTCACATTTTCCGCAATGCCACACACACTCCCCATGCCCACATTTGGCGCCCACAGATGTCTCCACATTACAGGTGTGAACATTCACAACAGAGGCAGGTATTGCAGTGTCTGACAAAAACTTTCCACTGATGGGTGCAAGTGATCCAAAGTCACACACTTGGTGTCCAGAATCACAAAGCTAATCTCTAGTGAAACCCTGATGAGTTTCAAGGAATGGGGGAAAATGCTTTCAAATGACTTATAATTTTCTAATTTCTTTACCTCTCTTGGATTCAGAATGTATCAGCTGGTTACATTTCAATGCTATTAGTAAAACCCTTCTCTTCAAAGCCCTTTCCTCTGTTTTTCGTGTAGTTTATCAGGTACACCAAAAGTTACACAGTCGAGAGCACTTAAGGTTATCAACCTCTCTGAGCATCAGTTTCCACTGGGGAACAGGGAATAGTAGCAGGGTCGACCTCCAGGGCCATTATGACCATGAAATCAGTCAGTAAGTGCGCTTAAAGGACTCAACCATCCCATAAATAGCCATGGGTCTGCTATCTGCCAGGGCTCAACACAAAGTCACTGTACTAATAGTGTTTCATATTATGTTCTATTGAGCTGAAAGCAGCCTAGCTGAGTTTTTAACCAAGGAGACAGCAGTTAACCATTGTGACCTCTCACTCTCAAGGAGGGTCTTCTTTTCTCTTCCCTAGACCCTCCCTTTGGGTCTACTTGTCTCTCATCTCGAAATCATCCCTTCCATTTTCTGTCTGTTCCAACTGTAGCCTCTCACATTGTTTGGAAAGAGGAAGTGAGGGAAGGGAAAGAAAGCTCTCTCTCCTGTTTTGAATCCAGACAAGGCTGGCCCACCAGACTCCCACTCATCCACAATTAAGCGTGTGCCGAGCTGTTTCGGATGAGGACACGTGTTCAGACATGAAGAGTTCTCTGGGACTGAATGTGGACAAGTGGGTAACCAACAGAAAGGACAAATGTGCCTTTCAGTCCGTCTTCACTGAAAGTTGGCATCATGAATGTTTCTACTAGAATTCAAAGTCTAGTGTTAGAAAATAGCGTGAAAAGGAAAACTTGTTCTTACTGAAATTAAAAAAAACAAACAAAAAACCTTACATTCTCTCCTCTTATATTCTCGGCTTTCTCTCCTTTTTAAGGGTGACAGAGTGGATTTGTAGGCCTTACTGACATGATCTGTTATTTCCTCCCCTCACATTTTTTATTATGTATGCCAAATAACAGGCAAATCTTGGAGCTACACGTCTTGACTAATATTTGCATCTTTAACAAATAAATCTGGCCATATCTTTAGGTATGTGCTTATAGGGAAATGGCTCCAGCTCAAGCCGATGGGTCTCTGGAGACATTTCAATTCTTTGAGCTTATCCACATGAAAGAAACCATGAAAAGGTGAGAATGGGTAGCATTTACCCTTTCATCTATTTTCAAAGAAGCCTTTTGGCTTTCCAGGGCTTAGGAACAGATTTGAACATTCATTTTCAGTCAGTATGATGAATCAGAGCCCACTCCTGGGAAATCCAGGTTTCTGAGACTTGGCCACTGCAAACCAGCATCCCACCAGGCCATCCCTCCAACCAGGTTCTCATCAGCCCCAGAGCGAGGCTGGCACAGCCTCACATGAAATCCCAAAGGATGGTGAGCTGCGAGGCCTCCCCAGCATCACCTCTCTATCCCATGGTTGTTCTCAGAACCACTTAGCCCCCACTGGAGGAGGGTCAAGCCTTTGGTGGGAAGGGTCCTGCTTCTTGCTGTGTAAACCAACTTCTACATGTTCGTTAGGGCTTGGTTAAGGAAATGACCCCCATAAAGATGAGAAGCTTTGTGTAAAGGTTATAGGTATCTAGCTCTTCACACTACATGACACAGTAAAACCATTATACCACTTCTATAGCGAAACACAATAATATAATTTCAATGGGACAGTGTAAGGCAGAAAAGTCACCTAAGTCAGAACTGAATTTCTCACTCCCAGTTCTATTCTGACACTACCAGGCAGACTCCCTGAAAAGCACAAAATTAATGCTCGTCGTCTGCAGTTGACAACAACCCCAAGTGTAGCCAGTTCTAGAAAAGGAACAGGACGAACCTACCGTGCTCTCCTTGGGAACTTTCATCTTCCATACGCCACCCTTTGCATTACTCTCCTCTTCCCTGGATCAAAGACCAACATCTAAAGTTATACTTGAAGATTAAGTGATTCTATATACACTTACTTTAATAACAGATGACACTGAAAACAGAAAAACCCTCAGCATTCTTCAATAAACTCTCCCCTAGTCCTTTGACTGGAAACAGAAGCTGAAGGGGGTTGGGAGGGGAGAAAATGGAATTCAGTGACCACAAGGATAGGGGAGGTGATGGGACACCAGGTTCTCATCCTCAAGAAGGAGGTGAGGAGAGGTTCCCGAAACCATCTGGGGATGAAAAAAAGTAATGCAAATGCTCGTGTAGGGGCGTTTACATTTCAGTACCTCAATCATGGCATCGCCTTGTCTGATTCTCGTATCAACCTCGTGTTGGGGGTCTATCAGGAGACCCAGCCCTGTGGTGGGAATTTGCTCTGTTTACCTGTTTAGTATCTGCTCCCTCTTCTGGTGAGAGCATCCCAATCTCCCTTACAGAACCACCTGTCTCCTGCTCTTATGTCATCCAGAGAGGGGTGACTCCGCACCCTAGCTTCAAGGGTAGACTTGGGTCTGATGTTTGCCCATGAGAACACTGACTCCCCCCTGGCATTTGTGACTAGCCAGGGATGGAAAGGTGACCCATGTGAGCCAATGAGCGCCAGCTCTGGCATTCTACTGGGGCTAGTGAATGCCAACACTGATAACCTTGTAGGGAGTAACACGAGCTGTTGTGAGCCATTTTGCCACCACAAATGGGACAGCCTGGAAATTAAACCAATGTGGAGGAAAGCAGAGCAAATCTGATAAACAGCGTCAGGTTCCTCCTATCATTTGAGTGCCCAGATCTGCCAGAAATCAGCCCTACCCAGTGGGCTTCTCAGTTACAAGGGCCAAAAAATTCATTTTCTTTCTCAGATTAGGTTCTTGTCATTTTCTACCAAAGGAGCTGAGGTATATTTCATTTTATTAATGAGTATGTAACTTAGAACAGTTGAGGGACGTAATAGGGATTTATTACTAACTGGAACTCCAGCCTAGCAAACCACCCTCATCGCTACAGCAAGCTACTGAAGGAGGGGACCTTCCCCTGGGTCCCAAGCCATGGTCAGCATCGTGCTAAGGGTCCATGCAGAGATGGTCTGAGGTGCCATGGTGTTTGTTCAGCCACACAGCAGACGTGGATGCCACATCTGTCCCCCTGAGCTCCCACCGGCCTATAAGCTTTTTCACTCCCCTGCCTGGGTCATTGTTGAACAAATAAAAGAACCAACCTAGCTGATGCCATGCCCTGTACAGAGCACTACCAAGGACCTCCTGGCAGTGAGACTTGGGGTGCTCGGCGGAGGGACACTGAGAACCTTCTCATGATCCTGAGCCCAGGGTGAAGGGCGGTGGGGGGGGTAGGGGCTCATTTCATAACTAAGTAATAACTAAAATCACTTTCCAGCATCACCTGGAGAAAAGTGCTGTGGCATTCCAATTCAACACGAAGGAAGCATTTTATGAGGCTTACAATCATTTCCCTCCCGACTTAACTTCAAATTAATGTTTGACACTTACCAGAGTGGTCGTCTCTCTCCTCTCATTAAATGATAACTACATCTCAAAGGCAGGCTAGCGACAGGAGGAATATTATTGTACACACTCCAGAATATCTTTAAAAGAAAAATACTTAGTTTAATATACCCAGTTTTGATTTTTACTATGCAACTAGATTATAAATTAATGAATTAGATAAAAAAATCATTAAGTCCTATCCATTAAAAATAGATTTTTCTTGGTGCTCTAATTTTCTGCTAGAAAATGTCCCATAACATTAAGAAATGTTCCTTGCTGAAGTCAGACCAAGTTCTGTGCTTCAGAGTGCTGTGGTTATTAAGCAAACATTCCTAGCATTGTATCTTCACATCAAACTGGGATCTTGCTAATTAGTAAGGATCTTGCTAATGATTTTTCTGACAGGTAAATGGCATCGAATAAAGCCTGTAGTGCATGTGCTGAGCCATACTTCCTATAACACAGGCTGTGTCTTCCTTCTAAGCCTGGAAGGAGTCTGTTATGACTGAGGGATGGGTCTAAAGCAGCGGTTCTTAACCTGTGGGTCGCGACCCCTTTGGGGGTCGAACAACCCTTTCACAGGGGTCGCCTAAGACCATCGGAAAACAAAAAGATATTTACATTATGATTCATAACAGTAGCAAAATTACAGTTATAGAGTAGCAACGAAAGTAATTTTATGGTTGGGGGTCACCACAACATGAGGAACTGTATTAAGGGGTCATGGCATTAGGAAGGTTGAGAACTGCTTGTCTAAAGGAAGATGCAAAGAGGAGTCGCCTTAGGCGCTCTATCTCTTTTCTGTTCCCTCCTAGAAGGAACAGGGAACAACTCAGTTTCCCAAGATACAGGGTCTTAATGGATACTGTGTTCGCCTCAAATTCATCTGGAAGAAACCCTAACCCCAATGGAGTAGTATTAGGAGGCGGGCCCTTTGGGAGGTAATTAGGTCGTCAGGGTGGAGCCTCCATGATGGCACCAGTGTCCCTGTAAGAGGGCTAGTCCTCTCTGTCTCCACCATGTGAGGGTACAATGAGGAGATGGCTCTCTGCCTGTAAACCAGGACCAGGGCTCTCACCAGACTCCAACCATGCTAGCACCCTGGTCTTGGACTCCCTGCCTCTCCAACCATAAGGAATTGCTGTTTGTTGTTTAAGCCACCTAGTCTACGGTATTCTGTTATAGCAGCTGGAACTAAAGAAGACACAGACAGCTGGTAGATAGAAACAGGTTATATAAAAATAAGAGTAAGAGTAACAGAGTAATAGTAATAGTAATCGTGCCAGGTTATGGTCTATGAAATTTTTTTTTATTTTATTTTTTTTAATGGGGAATTGAGGGAGGGAAACAGCTCTGGGGAATCGGGAAGGGGAACAGATAAGTTGCTTTCCTTTTGTTCTTCAGTCTAGTTGTGGAGGACACCGCTTCACTGGCCCATGTTGGTATTATCATTGCGATCGGTCCCCGGCCTCTGGACGGCTGCTCACAGTGGCTCTTGGCAGCTCACACCGGCTGCGGGCCGCTCACGCTGGCTGCCGGCCACACACGGTAGCTTATGGCAGCCCACTGCAGCAGGGGCTGCAGCCTATGCTGTCGCTGGC